CCCAATGAGTTTAAACCTGGTTGGTTGCATTAATGTTTTGCTAATTATGATGACCGAATTCCCTTTTTTTATGCAATATCATCTTTAAAGATATAACAACTATATTTATATTAATCCTATATCTAACAAACTCCACATTGACATGAATTCTACTATAATTAACATATCTTAAAAAAATCTCCATGTAAAACACAAATTTCACTGCAAAAAATAAAATTTAATTATCTAATTCAAACAAGATTCTCCAAACAAATTACTCCACCTCTTTTACAAAACCATAAGGGCAAAACTCAACAAATGTGAACTAAATCCTAGCATTGCTTACCAGCATAATTACATTGGGTACCAAATTTCTTTGAATCACCACGAACAATAAAATAATTAAGTTCACAAGTAACTCTATTTGAGTAAGAATCCAAGCACTACTCATCCGTGGAATTACTTTGGGCACCAAATTTGCTTAAATCACGAGTAACAAAAACTAGAAATGATATAATATTCACCAAATGTGGTAGAAACAAGGCTTGTAACAGAATCATCACAACTAAATGATTCGATAGAAGGATTTGACTAGAACAATACCTTCAACCACATTCAAAGTATAAACAACTAAATTAGCATCCCTATACCTATGTGGAGGCCTAATATTAGGAATAGGTCTGTCTCTAGCAGTTGATACAATGGCATCGCTGGAAATAGTGGCCAAGCTGAATTATCCATAACTTATAAACTCGAACAAGATGTAATCTTTAATATGGATCCTAAATCAAACTTCAACTATATGGAACCAAACTCAAAATCGAGTCCCTAGTTTTTGTTGAATGAACTCAAAAGATTTTATAGGACCATGCAAGACATAATTGGGATCTTTTTTGTCCCTTTCAATCCTTATGTTGCTTTTGCTCGAGCATCCAAACAAAAATATATGCAATAACAAAAAATCTTGTTGTGATCTAAAAGCGGAATATCAAACTTCATATTTGCCAATCCAAAACAATCAAACCTCGTTCTAGTTGATCAAACCTCATTTTAATACAAAACCAAACTAGTCTCCTAAGATCTGTCGGCTCTGATACCAATTTGTTAGAAATGGAGTCAGTATTTAAGAATTAAGTATCGCTATGATATCACTTGTTAGAAATTAAAAATAATAAGGTAATATGAAAAGTAACGATCACAAGAACATAAAGATTTTACATAGAATGTTAAGATTAAAAAAAAAAAAAGAAGAAGAAGAAGAAGAAGCACGGATAGAAGTAGATAATTCACAACATCAAAAATGAGGATTTCAATAAGTTTGATCTCAAATAACCTGTGATAATCAAAATGTGTTGTGCACCACATATATAAAAATACTAAGATTTCCTAACATATTAAGAGAATATAATACAATGAAGAGTTTAATATAAAGCATAGTCCCATTACAATAGATAAAATCAATAATGAAATGTTTAGAATGAAATATGAGTAAAAAAACTACCAACTCCTGAATTGAATTACCACTTAAATTTCCAAATAAACTTCAATTAGAATTTTCAACTGGACTTCAAATAGAATTCTAATGCTAACAGCTATGTTCTATCATTTTACAATAATAACTTGTAATTATATCCAGACACTCGTTTCATCACTATGTTCTATCTTATTATAATAATAACTTGTAGTTATAGTAATTATATCCAAATACTCGTTTTATCACTATGTTCTATAATATTATAATAATAACTTGGTAATTATATCGGAATGTCAGTTTTCTTTGAATGTTCTTGATATGCATGTCACTTTATAAAAACGATTAGTCTCAATAAAATTATACAATATTCTACATATTCTCGACCGATATTTATAATTTACCATGAACATATTTCAAGTACTTGATTAAAAAATCAGGGGCAGATGTAGGGGGACTAGTGATGACAAAAAAACTCACTCCGCCTCAAATGGAATATATAAAAAAACCGTGGCGGGGCAAGGCGGGGCGCCCCGAACTCATTTTGAATTTTTATTTTATTTTCCAATAATAACATAACTCGAAATTTTAAAAATGTAAAAAATTAAATGGGATAACAAACGGGGAAAAAGTTGCCCCATCCCCATCCCGCCTCGGGACAGGATTTGGGGTGTGACAGGACTTAGGCTCGAACCTCCCCTGTTGCCATCCCTAGGGGGACTGAGATGGACTGTAGGGACCCAAGGCCCAAGAATTTTTTTTAAGGCATTTTTCAAATTTTTATTTTATTTTTTCGTATTAGCCCGATCTTGGAAATCTTGGATCCCCGATTAAAATTGTATTAAAATTACATTAAAATTATATTAAAATCCTGGCTATTAGCAACAGTGTTTTGTATGGAGTTAAAACTTTTCTCATTCAGAATTGTGTTAAGGACATTGTTACATGTACATCAAACTTTATATAATGGATTACATAATACCACATGTCACTATATCATTTGTCAATTTTAAACACAGTTAACTTTTTCATCCAATTTTCCCCCCACATCATTTTATGTAATCCTTTATGCACAATTTTTATATACAAGTAGTATAATCCTCGTGTTAAAACCGTCAAAATTATTGGAGAAAGTGAAAAGTTAAAACATTACTAATGGATAGATCTTTGCCTCGAACTAGTGATTTCATTCATAGTCGCCGTTCTTTGATTCAGTTTTCAATTGGGCAATTTTATGTCAATAAAATCACTATACTTTAGAAATATTGGCCAATCCAGATACTGGAGTAGCTATTACATACTAATAGCCGATTCATCCGATGTGATCGTAAAAAATGACTAGAAATCATTTATACAATTGAAATTCTCATTTTATATAGATTTTTTTGATTGTATCATATCTTCCAAGTCAATTTTTCAACGACATAGAACGACTTTTAGTATTTAAATCATGTAACATTCTAACATTAGACATTGTGACAAATTGAATAAAATGATTTAAATTAAAATAAAATTGAAGTATAATCACCTGATTTATAACAAATTAAAGTATGGTGTTCAAATTAACATTAATTGAGATAACCCAATTAAAAATTGAGTTAAAGTGCAATCACAATGACTACGAATATTTTAATCAAATTCGATAAAGCACTTTCTTGATCCGGGTTTGCCGCCCGGCCCATCAATTAGTTTAACTTTGGATGGACCCGGTAATTTACCGACGTAAGAGGTGCTTTTATGTAATAATATTCATTCTCTCAATATAATTAACCACCACGTCCGCCTCTCTTTCATTTTTCTCCAGCGTTAACTCTTGGAAATACCAGGCACCTGCGCATTCTTCCAATTCAAAATCCTTCGCTCCGCCTCCAGTGATACGGATCGGGTCTCAGGTCCGTATAAATTCACTAGTTTCAAGATTTTTAATCTGATGCAAGTTGTAACCATGTCTTTTTTATATTAATAAATTATGCAAAATTTTGATGTATGGAAATTATGCTTTGATTAAAGTTTTTCCTGTTGGAGATTGTTTAGTTCGCTTCTTGGGCATCTGATGTTTAGTTTTGTGATGTTTAAATGAATTATCTGTAATATGGAGGGGTGATATTTTCTAATGTTGATGTTTTACCTTTCTAGGTTTAGTTTCTGGAGGCCTTCTGTGGGTTTTTTCTGTAAAGTTAAGTTTTTGATTAGTTGACTAGGTCGTGTTAGCGCTGCTCCTTATTATTATTTTTTTATTTTTCCAACTGTTAATGAAAACATAATCATAAGATGCGTAGTGTAAGTTTAAGATCTTGAAAAATTAATGGGTTTAAACTGTTAAAAGTTATAAACTAGCCTGAGCGGATTGTGTGGAAAAATATAGGAGATTAATTAATATTCAAGAATGTAATTAAATTCCCACAAATTCTCTAATTTGTAATGCCAATTGTACTTTCTTGTATTGTGTTTACTCATCTAATTGTAAAATTATGATTTAGAGAATTGTTGTAATCAGAAACATCAGGGGTTGATGAACTGTAGTTTAAGACTAAAGAAAATTGATTTGTCATCTGAATTGATGTAGTAATATTTTTAAGTGCTGAATTGGGATAAATATTGTCAACCTTTACGCGTATCTTTAAGTGTATGGTAACTGACCTCATCATGAAATTGTGATTGGTTTTATGGAAGCAGTCTTGGCGCATTGAAGAAAAAACATAATTTTGTATTTTGTTAATATCTCAAAATGCCGAAAGATAGAAGGGTGAATTCCTCATCTTTTGATCGGGCTAGGGTATCTCCTTATGCTGGCAGCTCGAAGATTTGTGATCCGACGAAGTCAGATAGATATTTGCCTCGTGTTGGAGATGAAGCCGAATGGGAAGAAGCTAGATGCCCCATTTGTATGGACCACCCACACAATGCTGTCCTGTTACTATGTTCCTCCCATGATAAAGGATGTCGACCATACATGTGTGACACAAGTTCCAGACATTCAAATTGCCTTGATCAGTTTCGCAAGTCATCTAGTGCATCATCACCTGCTCCATTTGCTACTCCACGAGAAGATGTCTCGGCACCACGGGTGGCAACTCGCAGACACAGAGGGGAACAACCGTTATCTAGGCCAATCAATTCCCTTGAGGGAGAGAAACCTGTGTTTGTCTGCCCCCTTTGCCGGGGAAAGATCACTGGATGGCTTTCTGTGGAGTGTGCACGGAGGTTCATGAACTCCAAACTGAGGAGCTGCTCTTCAGAAAATTGTAACTTCAGTGGAAATTATTCTGAGCTAAGAAAGCATGCCAGGCTTGAGCACCCTTCTGATCGACCAGCTGAGGCCGACACCCAGCGGCAATCTGAGTGGATGAGGTTGGAGCGACAAAGAGATCTTGAGGATGCACTTAGTGCATACCTGCCAGATCTTGACTTTGACTTGGGTGACTTGGACGAATTGCCTAGCTTTGATGAATGGGATGGAGATGGTCTGTGGAATGATCGAAATTTTTTTGACTTCGTAGGTGGACTTACAGAGGACGGGGATGAACCGAGTGAAGACAACAATATATTTACTGATCTAGAGGTTGAGTTTTCTTTCTCTTTCCTTGAGTATCTATCTTATCCTGAGATAGAAGCAACAGATTCTGGTACTTCAATAAGTAACGACAGAGTACGTAACAGGAGACAGATTAATTCTAGGTCAAGTTATCCCACTGAAAACAGCTTAACAGGTTCAAGGCCTAGATCAAATCATCATAGGGAAAATGTGCCCCCAAGTTTAAGATCGAGTTATTATGAAGGAAATACCCCGGCAAGTTCGAGGCCAACTTACCTTGGTAGATACGCACCAACAAGGGCAAGGTCAAGGTCAGGTTATCATAGGGCGAACAGATCCCCTGTGAGGTCGAGTACGTCAGGGAGGCAAATGCCTGGCTCTTCACAATGGCACCAATCAAGTCGGAGATCCTGAGGATCGCGAATCTAGTTTGTTTTACTGTGCTTCTTTTACTGTTTGATGGGTCTCTAGCTGTAGTTTACATTTCCTGTTTTGAACTCTTAAAAGCTTTCCCTATGATTTAGTTTTCGGTCATAATTCATGCGGTCACACTTGTACGAGTTTGTAAAGAAGTTCTCTATTTATCAGTTGTGATCATACGACTAAGAAACTGACTCACACATCCGCCCAAAAAAAAAGAAAAAAAAGAAACCCACCCCCACCCCCCCCCAAAAAAAAAAAAAAAAAATGATAAAAAAGATAGTATTTAATTAAGTAATTTGGATTAATGATCAATTGAATTTTATTTATTTATTTATTTATTTTTCCTTTTTCGTTTTATTCAATGTAGCATAACAATGTGACATGATAGTCAATATGGTTGTTTTTTTTTTTTTTTGGATAACATACGACCAGAGAGAGAATGTTAGTACGGGTAGAAACTTAGGTGTAGAAATGTAAATTTATCTCGGCAGCCCCATTGACGACGTATTCTACTCGTAGAAAATTGACATTGACCAAAAATTGCCTTGAAGTTTCATGTTCGGAATCGTCGGTCCAACCAAATCCACATTCTTTGTGCCTAACGGTAGATGACGTTGACTATTTATTGATTTTAATTTTATTTAGCAATATGATAGATGTTCAATTGTTATGGGTTTAACCCATCACTGAGGTTAAATAAGGTCTGGTTTGTGCAATTTTCGGAAAATTAGGAATCACTTTGAAGTTTTGTACGGTTATAGGTAAAGAACATGGATTATGAAATTGGTAAAATAACTAAAAATAAAGGGTATTTTCATCTTTGCTCGGTTCGCTTCAAATCGGTTTGGTCAAGGTCAACAGAGTAAATCTAGCCTCTTGATCAGGGATAAGGAGGCCAATGAGGTGTTCGGGTATTTAGGCCATTTTCAGTGTTGGACCAAATTTTGCATCAAATTTTGTATCAAATGTTATACTAAATTAAAATTTATTTTCAACCATTACATCGAAAGAACAGTGTTTTATTATTTTATTCATGATTTCGATTTTTGACAATGTATTTATTTATTTATTTTATAATTATATAAATTACTAAATCATAACTAGGTTAAATTAACAAATATATTAAATTGACGAAAATAATTGATTATATTATTATAAACAATTATGTTAAATTTACAAAAATAATTACTGAATTAAAAAATCTTAATTATTATTGATTATATTATTAAAAATAATAAACTTTAACAATATAATTATTATTATTATTATGATCATCATCATCATCATCATTATTAATATTATTATAGAACGAAAATGACACAAATACCCTTAACCATTATCTTTGAAAAATGAAAAATGGGCAAAATGGACATTGCAAAATGGTGTAATAGTTGGAAGGAGGTTTGGACCAAATTTTGGTGCAACGTGGTGCACATTGGAGATGCCCTCATAATGTTGCAAAAATACATATATAATCTTAAACAGATATGCATATTATATTTGGAGTAATGCTATTTGTAAATCATTATATACAGATATAGTCATTATATTTATATCTGGAGTAATGCTATTGTACATATATAATCAAGAGAGAGAGAGAGAGAGAGAGAGAGAGAGAGAGAGAGAGAGAGAGAGAAGGAAGCCAGTTAATATAATTCATGTTATAAATTTGTACACAATGATGTACAAATTGTAAGCACCTAACTTTTGACGCCAATTGGTCCCTCGAATGTTCATTAGTGACATTTTGGGCAAAAACATGAACCACTTCATTGGTAAATGATCAAAAGTTTTGGGACTTTACAGTAATTTTTTAGTTAGATGTAAATCAAAATCAGTGACCTCTTAACATCCCCTTACCCATAAAAAAGACAGTTGTCCTCAAATGCATAGTCAGGAAATTGATAATTAACTCAATCTCAACCTAAGATTTGCTGTCCCATCCTGTTGTTTCGTTGATTCTCTTCTACTAATATTTTGACACCTCTATCTAAATCTTCAAGGTGTTAAAATTTTAGCGGAACATAGTCGAACGTGTCAACATTTTTTGGGCTTATAATATTTTCACGTTTCAGAATTGTAGATGTAGTAAGGAATAGTCAACGAGATGGAAAATATAAACAATTTTTTTTTCTTCTCCTTTTCCCTTGGGATGATCTAAAATAGCTAGATGACACATACGTCTTCAAATTTATTGTTGAAATTACAATAATCAGCACTATACTGGATGTTTGATATACCAATATACTGGAACGACAATGCAATTCTTTTTCCTAAAGGTCTAATAAAATATATATTTTCAAAATACAAAAGCGTACTAATTTGAATTTTTTTTCTGTTGGTAAACTTTCATACAGTCAAATACTTACTACCAGAAAGCAAACTATTAAAATCAAATTGAATAATGATTTATTTTTGTAATTGCAATTTAATATAATTTTCTATCCAGTTGTTTGAAAAAATAAAAATAAAAATAAAAATTGACAATAATATCGGAAAGACCTTAATGCAAGTCCCAACAGGTGCCTTGGCCCAGCCACCTGTTCACAAAACCGTTGAGTTTCACAAGTGCAAAGATGTGTTTAAGAGCAAGCTTGGAATTCACATGAATAATAATAATAATAATAATAATAATAATAATAATAATAATAATAAAAATAAATTTAGGCTATTAAATTGTCTATAATTTATTTGCATAGAAATTGTCAATAAATGTATTTGATTGATTTAATTTTCAATTTAACAAATGTTATAGTTGTTCATTTTTTATTGGTGAGTAGTTGAGAGAGAAAGGATATAGATGAAAGAAAAATTACTTAGAAGATGAAAACCTATTCTCCCGAAAGAAAATGCTTTCCTCGTTTTCAAGGAACACATGGTCATGTTTTTTCATAAAAAATATATCAATCAAACAGTATAAAAGTAGAAATTTGAGTGAAAAATGACATTTTTCATTAAAAAATATTGACAATCAAATACATCTTAAGTGTAAATATATTCCCACCACAATTTTTTATCAATTACACCACATTTTAATCACAATGACTATCTCTAATCTTATTTTTTTTTTATACTTATGTTCTCAATTGTTTTCAATTTTTTTCAAGGGAAAATTGCAACCGAGGTAACAAACCTTTCGTTTATTAGCAGACTTTACCCCAAACCTTTCATTTGTGTCATTGGAGGTACCAAACCTTTCAAAAATTCGCACCCGAAGTCCAAATGAATGGGAACCGTCTATTTGACCGTTAGTTGACCAAGAAAAGTAAATTTTGACCGATTTTGACCAAATTGAAATGGGTAAAATGGTAACTTGATAATTACAATATTAAATAAATTGAACAAAAAAAAAATAAAAAAATCAAGAAAAAATCAAAAAATTAAGAAAAGAAATTACAAAAGGGTTGTCTTCTTCAACCTCCCCGCCCCATCCCACCCCACCCCACCCCACCATCTTTGTCCCCAATTGCGTGGGTCTACAGTTTCTTCCAGCAAAATTACAAACCTTTTCCACAGATTTTATCATTTTTTCAGGCTTCCTCTTCCTCTTCTTTTATTGGTCTAAATAGCGTTGATTTTTTTCTACACTACCCCTAGAATTTGGTTTCTGGGCACCATTTTATGGCCAATGCTCCCATGGTACCTGCAACTACCGGCTTTCCTATTTCAAACAAGACCAAATTAACTACTTATCAAGAATTTGATAGGCTTAATGGATATCCAAGGAAACAAACAGTTAAAAAGGATAGGCATAGCAAAATAATTACAGCTCAAGGTCCAAGGGATCGAAGAATGAGGCTATCCATTGGTACTGCACGTAAGTTCTTTGATCTTCAAGAAATGCTAGGTTTTGACAAACCAAGCAAAACCCTTGATTGGCTGCTTACGAATTCGAAAATATGGCGGGGTGGGGCGGCGTGGAGAGGTTGAAGAAGACAACCATTTTTTAATTTCTTTTCTTAATTTTTTGATTTTTTATTGATTTTTTGATTTTTTTTGTTCAATTTATTTAATATTGTAATTATCAAATTATCATTTTACCCATTCCAATTTGGTCAAAATAGGTCAAAATTTAATTTTCTTGATCAACTAACGGTCAAATAGACGGTTTCTATTCATTTGGACTTCAGATGCGAATTTTTGAAAGGTTTGGTACCTCTAGTGGCATAAATGAAAGGTTTGTGCAAAGTCTGCTAATAAACGAAATGTTTGGTACCTCAGATACAATTTTCCCTTTTTTTAATCACTAACCCTATATTATTTTTATATTTTGTCCATAAAGATAATTTTCATCCAAAATATTTATTACAAAGGCCAAAATACGTATTTATCTCTCGCATTTTTAAATAATCAAAATAAATAACTAATACAAAAGTTAAACAAAAATGTATTCATCTTTTCAATGCAAGTTAGTAGAATATTTGAGTGAAAATAGACGGTTTCTATTCATTTGGACTTCAGATGCGAATTTTTGAAAGGTTTGGTACCTCTAGTGGCATAAATGAAAGGTTTGGGCAAAGTCTGCTAATAAACGAAATGTTTGGTACCTCAGATACAATTTTCCCTTTTTTTAATCACTAACCCTATATTAATTTTTATATTTTGTCCATAACGATAATTTTCATCCAAAATATTTATTACAAAGGCCAAAATACGTATTTATCTCTCGCATTTTTAAATAATCAAAGCCACTGGAGGTACCAAACCTTTCAAAAATTCGCACCCGAAGTCCAAATAGATGGAAACCGTCCGTTTGACCGTTAGTTGACCAATAAAATTAAATATTGACCAATTTTTGACCAATTGAAAAGGATAAAAAGGTAAAAGTTACTTAACCCTATAATAAAACAATTAAAATAAATAACTAAAATATAAAAAAAAAATTTACTATTCATCTTCTTCTTCACCCACCCACCCCCACCCGCACGCCACCCTACCCCACCCCATCCAAAACCAAAAATAGAAATTAAACAGCCGCCTTCTTCTTCAACCTCCCCTCCCCACGCCATCGCACCCCACCCCACTGGCTCTTGCCCAATTAGCAATTCAAGAATCACAACCCCAAAAGCGTAAACGTCGAATTTCTGGTGATTGTCTTTTACTCCAAAAATCCTCCTGAGCCTCCTCAAGTCGGAAAAGAACCCCATTTCAGCTCTCCACTTGTTTGACTC